ACATTGTGAAAGTGAAAGTCAGCAACGTATGAGAATGTCCTTAATGGCATAAAAAAGAGTCGTAGACTTAGTGTTTGGAAGTTGAAATAATCCAAGTGTGTCTTCATGAACTGTGACATCTTTGTCGACCCATCTAATTGACAGTGATAGTTGTTCATGATCAGAGATGAGATACATCAGTACCTTCATCAGCTATAGCAGAATACCACATAGAATTATTAATAACATTGAGGATGCTCCTTAAAATGGTATTGCCCATCATTGTGATAATTTCATTGACAATATCAGGAGAAATGTAATCCTTTTTCTAAGCCAAATGTCCAATTCTGGGCACTCTTGAGCTTGAAACAGTAACAGTTGGAGAAAGTTTCCATTTGCAGTAGTCTCAATATCCTCTCTGTGGCCACGAAAAGGCAGTCCTTGCCTTGCCAAAACTATAATTGAATGTAGTAGCTTCATTAACATACGTCAGTGATATTGCTGATCTGATTCCAGTTGAGTACACAGTTGTACATCTATCCCAGCAACTGTATCACTAGTTGCAGCAACTTTCATGACAGCTTCTTGATGCATAATACTGCATTCATGATCACAAAACTTTAAGTGACTTTTTAAAGTTCTTCAAACCATCATCATCAAATGCTGGGCTATAATGTTTGGAAAATGTTAGAAGGCCCTGAGATTTAGTAGTACGACAAGTACAACTGTATAATTTGACCTGAGAGGAGCAGACACTTAGCCATGGGTACTTCTGAAACCAACAAGGTTGGATTTTTTGTGAACTTTGTTTCTCCAAAAGGCTAGTCGATGGTTGATAAGGAGTAAATGGGTCTGAGCAGCCTAAACACTGGCAATCACCATCACTACTACCTGTATCCGCTTCCGCTGATGGGGCACTGCCGCGCTGAGAGTGAGAGGTACAGTTACTGTTATTATCACTAGTGATAATTGAGCTAAAATCCAATCAATTAGTACAATCACTTGGGTCAGTGACTGTTAATTGGGGTGATGATGATCTGCTTCGTGAATGTGAACGAAGTAGCCCACAGTGCTGTAAGACAGCTGTCTCGCCATTTTTAATAAGTTATGACTAAATAAGTTAATTAATAGAGTGAGTTAATAAAGTAGAGTTAAAAATTAAGGGGGGCTCCTGCTCCCCCCGCCCCCCCACTTCCTACGGCACTGTATCAAAACCAAGCAATGTAAACAAAGAGGGTAATAATAACAATTGTACAAACATTAATAAGTTATTAGCAATCACTTTAACTTTTGTATTTCTTGTTCCTCCATTTTACACATCAAACGAAAAAAGTATAAAAGTCATGCCTGCTAGTGATGGGCGATTCCAGAAATTTGCATTCTATTCCAATTCTGAATACTTTTGAGACTGGAATCGATGGAATCGAATACCGATTCCGAGTATTACATCTGCACATGCCCAAAGCCACGTGGTATCATTACAGCAACAAAAATGCAATAATGATGAATAATTGATGTATTAACTATTAAATAATTAACTATTATTAATATTAAAGGGTGCAGCTGGGTGTGGTTTGATTCGGAATCATTTCAAACGATTCCTACTTCTCTTTCAATACGAGTACGATTCCATTTGGAATCAAAGAATCGAATACTCTGGACTCAGAATCGCCCATCACTAATGCCTGCATGATAATCGTCAAACACTACAAGTGCAAGAAATGCACCAATAATCTACTACATGTACCATATATACTATATGCATGATACCAATTCTTTGTCACAAACATACATTACAAACCACAAGCAAGATACATGTGCTCACAAAGAGACACATCCCTCTAAGCTCTTGAATCTCATTCCAAGTCACACCTCAATCTTTACCATCACATTGTACTTCTTGTGCCAAGTAAGACATGTATAAAATACAGGGGCGTATCTAGAAATTGAAGAAGGGGGGTGCTGAGGGTTTGCAAAGCGCGCCGCGATTTTGGCCACATCCACTTTTACGGCGGTAAAACGGCCTTTTCCTGCATTTTCGTCAATTACGGGTGAGGCCAAGATCATTTCAAGTATAGTACTGCTATGTTTACTGGTACTTCTGATTGCTCCTTAAAGCACTGGAAACTGCTGAAATCATTATAAGGGGGCTAGATAACTTTGTTAAGAGGCTTGGTTGTGATGCAAGAGTCCAGGACTTCAGTAATTTTTTCTGAGCCCAGCCATGAGGGGGGTGCTCAAGCCCCCTCAGCCCCCCCCCCTAAATACGCCTCTGAAATATGAATGTGACATTTACTAAGTAATAATTACAATGGTAGCATCTACAATGTTTCTGATTGGATCATACATGTATTTTATTCATAACATTGCTTCCTTATGGTATACTCAGTTAAGATACTTTCATGACCTACTTCTAATATGAAATAAGATTATGTACATGAAGAATTTCTAACGTGCACACAATAATTTTTTGTTAATGTGAACATATACATTTTACAACAATCATCAACAATAGATGCGCAACATCAGCTAGCAAGCATTTAATATGCGCACAGCATTGATGGCAGCATTATGCGCAACATTTGCTGGCAAGCATTTACATTTATCTAATGCCCACAGCATTGATGGCAGCATTAACTTGCATGATGATCATTATTATATGTACTTGCATGATGATTATTACTATATGTACAGAATGACTGTTCGAATAACACTACGTGTATAATAACAAAATTTAATGTTACTCAAAAATTTTTCGTGTCAGGAATTCAAAATTTTCAGTAGAGTTCAGGTCCATAAGCACCTGTTATTTGTCATAAACATGTAGTATTAACGACAAACAAGATCCAGATTTGATAATAACAGCATTCTCCCTTCCAAACCCTCAGTTCTACATAAATGATAGTTACACAAATTTGAATTAATGCTGACATCTAATGTTCAGTAAACTTCTTTCACACCCTCTCCTTGTCCATTATAACAATAAGTAATCAATATTTACTGTTATACATTGATAAATTTCACTTCCTGAATATAGTGAGATCTCTTCGTACTGAGCAATATTGTGTCAATATGCACCAATGCTTTTCACATACACTCACACATCATTGACATTGCATTAGCGAGAAATACAAGTCATATCAAACAACCAATGTTTTAAAGATGATGAACCTCCCATTCACCATACCCACTTCCATCATCAATCAATGCTTAAAAAATATTGATAGACTTAACTACTGCTTGGAAATGATTAGTACCAACATGCTTCAAATACAAAGCAGGTGTATTAGTATCACAAGAAATGCCATATAAAGTTTGGGTTCCCTATCTAGCCCAGCCAACAAAGGTTGGAGTCAGTTAATATGAATATATAGATATTCCTAATATTGCTGTTAGTGTAATAATCTGTGTGTGGCCTACACAATTTCTGTACATTTTGGACTTATTTATGTAATCATATATGCTTGAAAATCTGGTTGCACTTAATGCATTATTAAACAATTCTTCTTCAAAGTTTGGCGTATTATTAACAATTGCTTTAAGTTATTTGTAATGCTGAGAAATTGATCCAGTAAAAGGGCATGAAATAAACAGTTCCCATCACCAGGGACATCAAGGGTATTATAAGGCACTCTCTTATCTGACAATGGTGTTGTTGGACTACTAGGTAAGATTCTATCAGCTGTTACAAACTTAATGTTTAAAATCTCACACTCCCTTCTTTGAAATTCTTCTTTACCAGGGTAGTAAACATAATCCCATTGTCTCCTTCTGACAATATCTGAATTGGGAGGCTCTTCATAAGTAAAGACAACATCTTTCTTTTGGATTTTTTGTCTTTAATTTAATGCTTGAGATACAATCACACTACTACTACAATGGTTGTTTCTTACAACACACTTGCCTTTATCTTTCGGTTATATTTAAGTTTTGGGAGTTTTATAAATACAATGAGACTACTAAAACTATCATCATTTTTGACATTATATTTGGTTTTTAGGTCTTTTAAATTAAGTGAAAAAATTAATCATCAGTTTTAGGGCTAGGCAGTGCCAAAGCAGTATTGTCAGTAGTACTGTCTACATCAACTTTTTTGGGGGGCGACACTGATTTAAAGCATTATCATTACATATTTTACTCTTTAGCGCAATAGACTTTTGTACATCAGTAATCTTATGTTTATTGCTACTCACAGTGCTGTTACTAGTACTTTGTACGAGACTTACAGACACCTTGGCATTCTGACTTCATCGTTCACCATCATCAATTACACCAGTAACTTGAATCTTTCTCTTCTTTCCTCTGCTTTTCTTGATTTGCTTTAATTCATTTCGAAATTTAGTTCTCAGGCAGTTAATTTCATTAATGCACAGATTACTAACTTTAACAGTTAAAGGGTAAGTTCCATGATTTTTGATGGTATTTTTTTTATTGGCTTAATGGGATTGCATAGTCATAAAAATGATGTGTACTTAGTCTTACTGTCTTAAAAAAATTATTCACTGAGATATGAGCTTTCAAAGTTGCTCTTTTTTACTTCCTGCCATGATACTTCCTGTCGGTGGGCGTGGCTTCGCGTGACGTCACAAGAGGCAGCTAAATACATGCGAGTCCATGCTGGCAATAACAAAATGCCTAATAGATGTGTTGCCTATGGCTGTCAAAATACTAGTTCAATGGATGTTAGTGTATTTCACTTTCCAAATGACTCTACCTTAAGAAAGAAGTGGATACAAGAAGTGAAAAGGACTAGGGATAGATGGAATGGGCCAACTTGTAATTCTGTTATCTGTTCAGAGCATTTTTCTGTGGATTCTTTTGAGGATCCTTTGTACAAGTCATTTGGCTTAAAGGCAAAAGGAAGGCTAAAAAAAGATGCTGGGCCAACCATTTTTAAAAGAAAGCTGGATCAAGATCTACCTCAGGCAAAGAGACTTGCTTATGAAAAGAGAGATTGACATAGGGTATGTATATTAGTTATAATTATAAGGAAAAGTTTACAGCTGTGTACTTAGATTTTGAAAGCTTTCAGACATTCACCATCTCCACCTACATGTTCAATTAGTGATATTGCTAGTATAGCAGCAACAGATGAGGCATCTCACAATTTCACTCAAGTATGTTTTATTTTACGCCATCATGCATGTTACAATGTTAATATTTTTGTATTTATATAGTCTGTGGCAATACAAGTGGACCCCATTGTTACTAGATCAGTAAAAGTGCAAACAGTCAAAGTTAAATCTTCAGTAGTAAATAGAGTTTCAGTTGGTGAGAAAAATGACAAATATTTAAAAGCCTATAACCTGAACATGTTCTATAGGCACACAGACTAGCAGCTGCATTCTGTCATCAGATGCAGAAGTACAATGTGACTTATTATCTTCCGAGTTGCCTATAACCAGCAGTACTGATGATAGCAATGCTTATGAATGTCAAGATAGCAGCAGTGATGAATCATACTCTGAAGAAGAAAAAGAAAAAAGAACATTTGATAAAGAGTAACTTGAAGAGTTTGCACATTGAGTACTAATCTATTTCCACTGTTTAGTTTTAACAAGAGTAACAAATACATTGTTTTTGAAAATTCACTGCTATCCTGATTCACTTCATGTCGTCTCTGTAGTTCATCTGAAGTGTTATTATCTAAAGTTGTTAGAGGAAGTTTTCTTAGGATACATCAGAAATGACGTGATTGTGGAGCAGCAACAACATGGGATAGCCAGCCATTTATTAATGAATTTCCTGAGGGAAATTTGTTAATATCTGCTGCAATTCTATTCAATGGCTGTTTCCCTGAGCAATCACTGTGTTTTTAGAACCATTGGCTGTGCTTCAATTAGTCGCACTTCTTACTTCCGCCATCAAAAAACATTCCTTAATCCTGCTATATTTCAAATTTGGGATATGAACCAGCAATCATATTTTGCTCAACTAGCCCAAGAAGGCAAGCCATTGGTTTTAGGGGGTGACGGAAGGGCTGATAGTCCTGGCCATTTTGCCAAGTTTGGTTCGTACTCTCTTGTGGAGTTAAATCATAATATTGTTTTGGATATTTGTCTAGTACAGGTATGTAAAGTACTGGTATATAATTATTATTGTAATTGTAGAGTAATGAGGTGTCTAGTAGCAATCACATGGAATTGGAAGGGTTAAAGAGAGCTGTTGCAAAAATTCATAATAATAATATGGTAATCCAGTCCTTAATTACAAAACGTCATCAGCAAATAATTAAATGGCTTAGAGATATGCATCCTACTATTGAACACTTTTATGATGTATGGCACAGCGAAAGGTATGTAATTGTGCAATTATAACAAAAAAAACTAATATAATAGGTGTCAAGAAGAAACTCAAGGGTCTAGCTAAACAGAAAGACTGTGAAATAGTAGGGGAATGGTCCAAGAGTCTTATTAATCACTTGTATTGGTGTGCAATGACCAGTACAGATGGAAACAGTGACATGATCAGAGACAAATGGCTCTCCTTGGAAAATCACATCCATAATAAACACCATCATTCAGGTCTCTTTAAAAAGTGTGCACACCCGAAGATAAATAGGAGAGTAAAGAAGAAGTGGCTCAAAAGACGTAAATACTCATTATCTAATCAATATTATCATAAAATTTATTCTTAGAAAGTAAACCTAGTATCAAAATCAGTGACATACTGTTCAATACGCAACTATGCAACCAGATCAAGAAATTGTCACCTTCATACCAAACATCATCAATTGAAGCATTTCACAGTGTTATTCTACAGTTTGCACCCAAATTAAGATCTTTTTCATACAGGGGAATGTTAGCACGGTTAGTAACATAACTCTGTTACCTTGTAATGTACATTTATCAGACTACGATTGGCAGCACTTCACTTTAATGAAAACAGCAAAAAAAGCAGGCAAAGACAGAAGATGGAACAGATAGATATGCGATTTCATATCCAAAATATAAGGGAGGTGGTCACCTTGTTAGGCAGATCAAAGAGAAATCCACTTACAGTAAGCATTTTTTAAAAATGCATGATTGGTATGTATATTTTTCATAGATTATGTCCACGAATTACTGGATAGAGTTTTAGCATTAGCTAAAACTAATAAGCCTGATTTATCTGTCTTCTTCCCAGATAATGACCCCCAAATTTAGTCTCCATTATCACTTAGTAAAACCCATGAGCAACCTGACAAATCACAAGCTATACATGAACATAGGAGTAGGTTGATAACATAGAATATCCCACATCAAGTACAGTGTATTTTTTAATTATCTTTAAAACCAGTGTATGAACTAGATGGAAATGTTTCTCAAATAACATTTACAGCACAGGATGGTAGAACAATGCGTATTTCTCTCCCTAGCCACCCCCAGCACCATTTTACAAGCTAACGATAGGTAGTATATCTATGTCTCCTACCAAGATATTAATTTAAAAATATTCTGAATATTTCACAATTACTCATGTACTGGAGCATTAAAATTGCCATATTGCTGCCTATATTGTGAGTATGCTGCCTGAAGTACCCATATATTGAGGCACACAGGAGCAAAGCCAGGATGCTCAGTGATACACTTGACTTGATGGTCATCAGCCTCATGTATCTTGTCTAGAACCTTCTGGACCGCTCTACAACAAAGGCATTCTCTTTGAGTCTGCATCACAACACAGTGTGTACAGGAACACCTTGAGTATGATACACCATAATAATGTAGTCTAAGTGACAAGATGCATGATTATTATACCAAGTAGTATTAGATATCCTGTAGTCTTCTTCATGACTTGAATCTGAACTAACTGATTCATCATCATCATCATCTGATACAACAGGTTCAAAGTTGTATGGTATTATATTATCACTCTCATCTACTATGATTTCTTCTTCACTGTCACTGCTAGACATAGCCATGTCTGGGACAGTATGCCTCTTGTGACGTCACGCGAAGCCATGCCCACCAACGGGAAGTATCATGGCAGGAAGCAAAAAAGAGCAACTTTGAAAGCTCATATCTCAGTGAATAATTTTTTTAAGACAGTAAGACTAAGTAAACATCATTTTTATGATTATGCGATCCCATAAG